CGGGTAAAGAGGGAAGGTCGGGCATAGGGCTAGCAAACGTACCCCGTAAAAGCAATCCAACCGCTACAGAAACTTCAAAGCACAAATAAAAAATAAAAACAAACTTATTCCCCACTGGAATTGGAGAAACGAAATGACGCCAGTTGGTGAAAGCATCCCTTCGGGAAGCCAGTTGGCCGATGTGTCTTCACTCTCTCGATGAAAAAGAAAGTATACATGAGGACATGGTGTGTCAGAACTATATTTGAACCTACCAAGGCTGTTCAGATTGCAAAGGAGATGAGAAGATACAGCATTGAAGTGCTAAGAATTTGCGAAAGCAGGTGGAATGGAAGTGGACTCTCCAAACTGTCAACTGGATAGTCAATAATCTACTCCCAGATTGTCACCCAGACAACAACCACGAGCAAACTGAGGGAGTGGCTATCATGATGCCCCCAAGAGCATCGTAGGCTCTCTCGCATGCAGTGGGAACCAATCCCCTCATGCAGGATCATAACAGCAAGCTTCCACTCAAAATGAAGGGAAGTCACAATCATACAATGATACGCTACGCTACGCACCTACAAATTATGCAGACCAAGAGAAGAAGCAGGAATTCTACAGACAACTGTAATCAGTACTGTACAAGACTCCACTTCAGATGCGACATCGAAATTCCATGAATGCCAAACTGGGAGCAGACAACACAGGAAGAGAACTAACCATGGGTGGAGAAGCGCTCGGTGAGGTGATGAACGAGAATGGAGAATTGTTTGCAGAATTCTGTGCATTCAACCATTTGGTGATTGGAGTCAGGCAGTGTGCTCAAGCACAAGGATATCCATGAAGAGAGCGACATGGATTTCACCAGATGCCAGGACACACTAAAAATCAGACAGACTTCATCCGAATGTGAAGAAAGTGGAGACGCAGTCAGCCTACTTGACACAAGATCAAGAAGGCGAGCAGATGTAGGTTCACACTACTCACCATCTAGTGCAAGGAACCTTCCAAATCAAGTTGAAAACCTTCAAAGAAGTTGGCGATAGGACACAGTTCACGTCCAACACTCAGAACAGAAACTGAAGCACGAAGCTATAAAGAAAATCTTTATGTCAGCCATCAAGACAAAATGGGAGATATTGGGCAACATCCCTGAAGAAACCTGTGTGGATGAACTCTGGAAGTCTTTGAAAGAGATGTGGAAAGAAACCTGCACAGCCGTATTAGGAAGGAGGAAGAAAGAAGATAAAAAATAGATCTCGATGGACATATGGAAGCTGATAGAGGAGAGGAGGATGGTGAAGCAGAAGATAAACCAGTTCAAGGATGAACAACGAGAAGAAGAACTGAGTCCAATGTATAAAACATTAGACAAAGAAGTGAAGAACAGTGCACGGAAGGACAAAAGACACTTCTACGAAACGCTGGCAAGTGAAGCAGAACAGGCTGCAGGTAAGAGAGACCTGACGGCATTGTATCAAATAACCAGGTTGCTATCTGGGAAGAGATCAACACAGATGAAACCAATAAAGATGATGACGGAAATTTAATTACCAAAGAAGAGAAACAAAGGAAACGATGGGCCGACCACTTCAAGAAGCTCTTGAATCGAACACCACCACTACCTGCGCTTCAACCAGAAATCTCACCTGCAGCCACAGAACTACAAGTGAACATGAATCCCCCAACAAAGTGGAAGTTCTGAGAGCCATAAAGCTGCTGAAATGTGGAAAAGCAGCAGGACCAGATGGAATCCGCCAGAAGCACTGAGGACAGACGCTCACACCACCATTGCAGAAGGTCTGGAAGGGAGGGAATGTACCTGCCTATTGATTGGAAGAAGGGAGACCTAAGCCTTTACAAGAACTGGCGAGGAGTCATGCTTCTGTCCACCCCAAGCAAGCAAAATACTAGGCCGCATAATCCTGGAGAGACTGAAGGATGCTCTGGATTCAAAACTACGACCGGAACAGGCTGGATTCAGAAAGTACAAATCATATGCAGACCGAATTGCAACGTTACCCTACGCATCATCATAGAACAGAGCAGAGAATGCCAGTCAACTCTCTATCTTAACTTTGAAAGGGCCTTTGACAGCGTTGACCGAGAAGTAATTTGGCAGGCAACTGCTTCAACACTACGGTTTTAGTGCCACAAACCTTTATCAACCTCATTCAACAACTATATAAAGATGCCACATGCCAGCCAAGTAATTCACAATGAGAAGCTCGGTGATGCTTTTGAAGTGAAGACAGGAGTAAGACAAGGCTGCCGCCTACTATCACGAATGATCTTCCTGATTGTGGTGGACTGGATCATGCAGCAAACGGTGAGGAGCGAGAAGAAGGGGATACGCTGAACCGAGGGAAAGATCCTAGAAGATTTGGATTTTGCCGATGACTTGTGTCTAATGTCACACAAACTTGAAGATCTACAAGCAAAAACTAACAAGTTGACAGAAGAGGCGGGGCAACGAAGACGGGACTTCCTTCAGGTGAATGTAGAGAAGATGGGGGTGATGAAGATACCCGACCAACACCAACACTAATAACAACAAGCTCCAATCACCATGAACGGGAGAAACTTAAAGGAAGTAGCCTCTTTCACCTATCTAGGCACCATCGTTTCAACTACGCGGGGCACAGTCGAGGACGTCAAATTCAGGATCGGAAAGATAGCAATACAGGCGTTCATTAACCTGAAACCAGTGTTGAGATCTTCTTCACTCAGCATAAAGCGTGAACAAGATCCGGATTTTCAACACCAATGTCAGTCAAACGAGTGCTTCTATATGGTTCAAAGACTTGGCGCGTCACGAAAAGCATCTCCAACAAACTAGAGACATTCAACAACAACTGCCTACGCTCGTAACTGAATATCAGATAGCCAGAAAGAATAAGTAAAAGGAATTCTGGAAAGAACCAACCAAGAAGCTATCACTCAACAAATATGCAGAACGAAGTGGAGATGGGTTGGGCATGCACTGCGAAGATCATTCGAAGACATCACACGCCAGGCCCTCGAGTGGAACCCAGATGGGAAACGACGAGTTGGGCGTCTGTGGCGAAGGGTGACATGAAGGAGATTGTGTGAGAAAGAAATAAGAGATTCTGAGCTGTCATGGAGCCAGGTCCAAAAGATTGCAGAGAACAGAGTGCAATGGCGACATGCTACTGAAGCCACATGTTCCACTAGGAACCCAACGGACAGATACTAAGACTAATAATGAAAGACGGTGAGACTTCTGAACACCTTGAGTGGCAATTTGAGAATGTTTGGGACGGGTTTCTCGTCACTCAAATGCAAAATGGTACTCCACAACTGGTCTTCAACTGTAACCGACTAAAAATAGAATGAAGTGGTCGAACACGTTGACCACTTCACTTACCTTGCAAGTCGGATCAGCTCTGGGGGGTCAGTGGCCGACGAAATCTCTGCATGGATACAAAAGGCTCGGTTGATTTTCTCCACCTTACACCATCTGCGGCACTGCCGTGATATCCGATTGTCTATTCAGGGTTGAGTATACTGTTGTGCTGTGTTGTATGTCCTACTGTATGGCTGTAAAACGTGGCCATTAAAGGTAGAAGACATGAGAAGGCTTCAGGTATTTGACCACCGTAGCATAGGCCTCATTTCGTGGTGTCACCACTTGAGTAACACATAAGTCAGACATAAAGTTTTAGGCAGGAGAGGTAAGAGTTAAGAGTTGATGTGGTTGTTAACTTCAGGCTAAAAAAAGCTCAGGGTGGCCAGGCTAAAACACGGCATCAATGCATGAAGTCGTTGACTGTTCGGTTGAGCTATTTAGGACGACGGAGACTAGTCGGTTGGGGTCCACAGAACAAGGGAAACCAGTGGTTGGAGACTCTAGCTGATATGGCCTAGAAGCGATGTCAGTGGTGCAGATGCATAAAACACATTACCCTCATCTTAACCGCTACACCTAATCTCATCATCTCATTCTTCCTTCCTCTCTCTTACTACTTCCACTTCCTTTGATCAATTTTTATCTCCTTCTTCTTCTTCTTCTTCCCTTCTATTGCTTTGTTACCTTAGTGTGCTGATATGAAGTGTGACGACTTGAACCACTACGGCAGTAACGCCTGGTCCTATGTTGTTTATGATGATGTTACTCCAGAAATATACAAAACCAAAATAGCTATAATCTACACTTCTGACGTTCACTTCCTGATATCAGTATTGAGCCTCTCACAACTTCTTACATCTCCCACCCTGTAACCAAACCAGCTACACTCAATTCCAAGTCTCCTGAAGACAGCTATCCACTTTGGATTAGACCTTTCAAGATCCGAACACTATGGCAAATCGGAGAGTAGGCATATCTTGCCCAAATTTTGGAAACTCGAGCCATACATGTATGCCGTATCCCTCAGGCAACAGAAAGCAGTTGTAGAGGACTCTTCGTGAATTGGCTAAAAATAAATCACAATCGCCAGGATGTATTTACTACTTAACGTCTTCAGGTTGAATGGTGTAAATTAACCTTCGTTTAAAAATTTCTTCGCTTACCCTGTCTACTGTGACATCAGCCGCTTTCTACCGACTTCCTCTTTGTGTACTACTGAATAGTGTAGCAACTTGAAACGATGCACTTGTG